TATATGTATATGTATATATATGTATATATATATATGTATATGTATATATATATATATATATATATGTATATATATATATTTGTACGATCACTTTATTTTGTGTTTTACTTTTACTTTTAAGTTTTAAGTTTTACTTTTTATTTGATAAGAATTCAATTTAATTTTTTTATTTAGTTTTTTGTGGTTTTATGTTTTATTTTATAAGAATTTCATACTTAGTTATATGTTTGGCTTATTTGTTTAGAATTTTGTTTTGCAATTTTTCAAAAAATATGTTTAGAATTTTGTTGCATTTTCTTTTCATTGAAACATTTTACATATTCTTCCAAAATAGATCTCTAATTAGTATTTTTCTTATTTTTATTATGATTATCACTTTTATTGTTGTTTTTATTGTTACTATAAATGTTATTTGTTTTGCACCTTTCATACACATTAATATAAAATATATTAACAGTGCACTCTGACGTCATCAGAGTGTGACCTTTGACCTTTGACGCCCTGTAGGCTTCGCCCAGAGGACCTTCATCCCGTACACCGAGACCTTTGGAGACAGTTTTGTTCAGGGACGAGTTCAGAGAGTCGACACCGACAGACAGACGGTCGTCCTGGAGGGAGGGAGGGTGAGGACGGGGGGGAGGTAGGGGAAGGGAGGGTTATACAGTTGTGTGAAAAGTGTTTGCCCCCTTCCTGATTTCTTATTTTTTTGCATGTTTGTCACACTTAAATGTTTCAGATCATCAAACAAATTTAAATATCAGACAAAGATAACACAAGTAAACACAAAATGCAGTTTTTAAATGAAGGTTTTTATTATTAAGGGGGAAAAAAAATCCAAACCTACATGGCCCTGTGTGAAAAAGTGATTGCCCCCCCCTGTTAAAACATAAATTAAATTCCCTACAGTCCAGTTTGTCCCCCGTGTGCTGCAGGAGATCCAGTACTCCCACCTCATCCTGTGTACTGGGACTGATGGAGCGTTCCCCGGGAAGTTCAACACTGTGGCGTCGTACCAGACCGCCGTCCAGATGTACAAGGACTTCATCAAGCAGGTAGTTACTCTGAGAGGTCTGCAGAGACAGAGGAGCTCCTCACCACCCACACTGTGTGTGTGTGTGTGTGTATGTGTGTCTTCAGGTCCAGGCTGCAGACTCGGTGTTGGTGGTTGGAGGAGGGTCGACCGGTGTGGAGATGGCTGCTGAGATCAAGACAGAGTATCCAGACAAGAAGGTGACGACAATCGAAGTATATATATAATCACAAACATTCAACATCAACACATGAAGGAACACTTCATTCTTTAGTAAAAAGTACAATAAATGTGTTATGCCACTAGTATGACATGTACTACTACTTTTTCCAGTCATTGTACTTGTACCTTTACTGTTTCCTGCTTCCTGTGTACACAGTGTGTACTCTTGTAGAGAAGAGTTTTTAAGAGCATTCTCTTGTTCAGGTGGTTCTGATCCACTCCAGGATCGCGCTGGCTGACCCGGAGCTGCTGCCCAGCGTCAGACAGCAGGCCAAGGAGGTTCTTCTGGAGAAAGGAGTGGAGCTGCTGCTGGGTATTAACAAATTTAACAAATTTCTCACTGGGGATGAATAAAGTATATATATATCTATCTATCTATCTGTATTGGACCTTATGCAGACCCGCAGACCAGGTGTTCGGTTCGGACCGGGTTCTGTCGGGGGTTCTGAACCTGCTGTGTGTGTTTCAGGTGAGAAAGTGTCCAACCTGTCGGAGCTGCAGCTCAATGTGACCCAGAAGAACTCAGTGGTGACCACTGAGAGAGGAACAAATCTCACCTCGGATCTGATCATCTGCTGCACCGGACTCAAGGTCAACTCTGCAGCCTACGGCTCCAGCTTCCGTGAGCACACACACACACACACACACACACACACACACACACACACTTACGCAGCATCATCGATTACCTGTAGTGGAGGAAGTATTCAGAACCTTTACTGCTGTAGAAGTAAAAAAAATACTCTGTTACAATAAAAGTACTTATTCTACACATTAAACATACTCTGTTCCAGAAAAAGTACTAATACTACATAGTGAAAAAAATACTCTGTTCCAGTAAAAGTACTTATACTCCATAGTAAAGTACTCCGTTACAGTAAAAGTACAAATACTACATTGTAAAAATACTCTGTCACAGAAAAAGTAATAATACTATATAGAAACAAAATACTGTTACAGCAAAACATCTATAACCAGCCAATGTTTTTTCAAGAAAAATGAGTCCAACCATCAACAAATCTGTTGATAATTAAGGAACTACTTTTTTATTTTATTAAAGGACTAATGTTCCAGCTGTACTTGTTTAAACTGTTGGGAAGTTTAATTTATAGCTAAACATCATACTTCTAATAATAATAACATTCCTCTAATATAAATGTGGTGGAGTAGAAGTAATTCGCATCAAAAGAAAAGACGAGGGTGAAGTACAAGTACCTTGAATGTGTACTTAAGTACAGTACTTGAGTATTCTAGTCTCGTATTTGTCTGTGGAGTGCAGTTTGATGTTGATTGTGGCAGTGTGTGTTAATTTGTCCATCAATACGGATCAGAGTGAGACGTCTCATAAAAGCAGCTCTTTGGGATTATTGTCTTTCAGCCTCCAATCATAATCAGGTAGTCCATCGGTGTATTGATCAGTGGTCTGTTCCTGTCGACAGCCGGCTGTCTGGCCGATAACGGAGCTCTGAAGGTGAACGATCACCTGCAGGTTCAAGGTTTCTCCAACGTCTTCGCTGTCGGCGACTGCGCCGACGTCAACGAGCCCAAGATGGCGTACCATGCAGGGCTGCACGCCGCCGTCGCCGTGGGCAACATCACCAACAGTCTGAGCGGGAAGGAGCTGACCTCATATCACACAGGTACACACTCACTGTCTGTGGTTTAGTTGCTCGTCTGTGTTTTTAGTTGCCTGTTTGTGTTTTTATTTGCCGGTTTGTGTTTTAGTTGCCTGTTTGTGGTTTTAGTTGCCTGTTTGTGGTTTTAGTTGCCTGTTTGGTTGCTGTTGTCTGTGCTGCTGGTTGACTGACGGTGTTGCTGGTTGCTAGGTAACGTCACCATGTTGCTGGCGATGGGTCGTGACGACGGCGTGGGTCAGTTTAACGGGTTGAAGTTGCCTCGTTGCCTCGTTGCCCTGGCGAAGAGTCGAGATCTGCTGCTGTGGAAGAGCTGGAGGGAGATGCAACAGCAGCAACCCTGACACACACACACACACACACACACACACACACACACACACTCTTATACTTGTGAGGACCTTCAGTCAGTTTACATACAAAACCAGAAAAGATCAAATAGTTTCTTCTTCTTCTCTTTTATTTTCTCTTCCATCGAGCAGCTCAACGTGTTCAGGTGTTCTCTTTGTTTCACGGTGGAGTTTAAATACTGTAGAATGAACGATGGCTGATCTCAGGTCTGTGCATGTTACAGTTATTTAGATTCATGTTCAGGAACTTTAACTTCCAGTGGAAGATTTCATTTGATATTAAACTGTGCCTAACTTGACAGAAAGATGCTTCTTTTATTTGAGTTTGTCTTTAAAGTTTCACTGATTCAACAACATTTTTCAGATGTTTTTTGATAATCTGTTTTATACAAACATGTTTAATGATGTTTCTCTGAGCTGATGCTAAGCTACTTCAAAATGCTAAATAAATGTGGATTATTGAAACATGGACCATGGATATGAAGAATTTAAACGTTGTTATTTACACGTTTCAGCCTTAAAAAATGTTAAAAGAAAACGTGAAGCACATATTTATAGACAGCTTCTTTATTATGTAATGCCAAAACAATAAATACAAATATTTTAACCCTGAAGATCTTTTTCTTCTGATCTCATTCATCAACAGCAGAAATATAAAAACAAGTGTGTTCACACAGAAAATCATCATCATCACCATCAGACAGCTTTCATTTGGCTCATTAATCAAACAGCTTCTCCGGCTGAACGTCTCCAGCGTCCAAACGTCTCCGTTTGGAGACTTCTCCGTCCACCGATTGGCTGCCATCATACGTCAGAATAAATACTGATCAACAAATAAATAGATTTGGTTTCTCAGCTGTAACTTTCAGATGTAAACGGAGTCTGAACCGATTTCAAAACTTCTCACGTCAGACGAACAAAAACAAAAAACAGAAATTGATCAGTTAAATCTGTGCGGAGATGAAACAATTAGTCAAGAAATGTAACTGATCATCGATTGATCAGCTCATATATTTCGGCTTCTCAGGAAACTGAACCTTTAGGTTTTAGAGGACACTTTAAATGCTAAATGATCCATTTGTTTAAAAAAAAAGTGGAAACTCCTCAGACGCACCAAAAAGAAAGATCATCAAATAATCGAGCCTCCAAAAGTAAAAAAAAAACAACACAACTTTCACATTTGACAAAGACTCATTTTAAAGTGAGAAACTCTTTGAATCTCTTCATGTGGAGGAATCTGTGACTCAAAGAGTTCCTGCTGCAGCCTCACCGATCAGGAACCAGTGGAACCAGTACGAGCAGAGTGGCAGCGGCTGGCTGATGAAACGTCACCAGAACGTTACACTTTTATTTAAAAAAAGCAAGTGTCGTTGGTCCGGAAGATAAAGAAATGTGTTTATTTTAAAAAAATAACTCAAATTCAAATGTCATATATCAACCTTGTCAATAAACTACAAGAAAACATTAGCTTCCTGAAGAGAAATAGAAGTAATGTTTTGAAGGAAAAGGATTGCCTAGCCGAAGAAGTCTGGGGACTAGCTGCAGCGGTTTGGAGAGTAGCACCAGAGTATTGTCAGGAGACTAGCTGGAGACCAGTTGCAGAAAACCTGGGGACCACTTGGAGAGGTCTAGGGACTGACTACAGAGGTTTGGGGAGTAGCTGCATAGGTCTGGAGACTAGATGCAGAGTTTCAGGGACTCGGGGCAAAAATGTCTGTCTTCATGACAGTCAGAGCATGTGAATGCAGCTCTACTGTTCATCAATATAATGCTGTAACTCCGAGGTAATTATGGTTACCCAGCGATCAAAGAATAAAGACACTTTACGCACAATTTAGGTATATTTTCCCTTTAACTCACGAGATGCAGGTAGCATGTTTTATACTTAATTTGAATATAATTCATACTTTGTTGGCATCTTATTCTGAAAACCAGATGTTCGTCTGAAGAAACCGGATGTTGTCTCACGTTAATCTTTCCGCTAACTTTCTTACCTCATTCTTGAGGCTCATACGTGCAGTCATTCGTTGCGATCCTAAAGGTGCGTTCACACCAAACGCGACGCGAACGCAAATTGTGAACGTTCCTCAGACCGACATCTTCCACAATACTAACCGGCTGCAGTTTGTATCCACTTCTCTGTAGCATTTGTTAGCTTGTCTTGCTTTTGTTTATCTCTACTTCTCCCACACGCTGCATCAACATAGTCTGCTAAAGCCTCCCTCTACGCTGCCAGTGAGCAACGGACTTTCAAAATAAAAAAAAATAAAAAAATGCGTTAACGCGCTATAAAATAATTGTCGGCGTTAATTAATGAATGCGTTAACGCGATAATAATGCGTTAATTTGCCCAGCACTAGTTGAAATCTATTCTTTGACTCATTGATCTTCTTTGTTGTGTGTTCATTCAGGACTTCTTGCTGCAGTTTGTCAGCTGAACTCAAATCTAACCTGAAGAAGAAGTTCCAGTGTGTGTTTGAGGGGACCGCTAAAGCAGGAAACCCAACCCTTCTGAATCAGATCTACACAGAGCTCTACATCACAGAGGGAGGGACTGCAGAGCTCAATGATGATCATGAGGTCAGACAGATTGA